CACTCTTCTTTCAGTACCAGGTAAAGTCTTCAACAGGGTATGGTTTACCGAGATGAAGGACTTTGTAGACGCCCAACTCTGAGATCAACAGGCTGAATTTAGTGACGATCGATCATGTACCGACCGAATCGCAACATTACGGATCACTGTGGAACAAACAATTGAATGGAATTCACCATTCTAAATCAACTTCATCGACTACGAGAAAGCATTCGATAGCGTGGATAGGAAAACACTGTGGAGGCTTCTTCGACACTACGGCGTGGCCTAGAAGATAGTCAACATTATACGGAATTCGTACGATGGAATAAACCACGAAATGATGCACGCAGGATATTTGACAAACTCGCTCGAGGTGAAGACCGTCAAAATCTGGAGGGAAGCACAGTATCCAATGGACAGTCAAGATGCAGCTAGACGATTAGGACTTCGTAGATGATTTGGCTCTTCTGTCGCACACGCAACAGCGAATTCAGTGGAAGACGACCACTGCAGCATCAGCAGGTCTGAACATGCATAAAGACAAGAGCGAAATTCTGCTACACAAAAATATCATTGACAGTAACTTATTCTTAAATAACAACACAACATGCGCCAACCAAATCACTCTTGATGGACAGGCCTTGGAGAACGTTAAATCCTATACATATCTGGACAGCATCATTGACAAGCAAGGTAGATCTGACAAAGATTCGAAGGCACAAATCGGAAAAGTAAGGGCTGCATTTATACAAGTGAAAAATATCTGGAACCCCTAACAACTATCAATCAACGTTTAGGTCGGAATTTTCAAAACAGATGTTGAGAAAGTTCTACTAGATGGGGTGGAAACTTGGAGATAAAAAAACAAATTCAAAACGAGTAGGAATTCATGGAGAATCGGCGGAACTGAATAGGATACACACTGCGAAATGCACCCAACTGCTTCGCAAGACAAGCCCTCACATGGGGCCTCAAGGTCAGAGGAAGAGAGGAAGGCCAAGAAACAAATTGCACCGAGAAATAGAGAAACAGATATGAGGAGAATGAACAAATATTGAACAGAACTGGAAAAGGAAGCCCAGGACAGAGTACGTTGGAGAAAACTGGTCAGCGGCCTATTCTCCACAGGCGTAAGTAACTAATGTAAGTAAGATGCACTGATCATTACCATAGAAGGACAAAACTTTACGCATAATTTTAAATAATATTTCGGAGTCTGGAATATACAACGAAATAGTTGGCGTGAATTATGTCAGTTGCGTTGCGACGAACGATTGCTAATCTGTTATCAATGCAAGAATTAACGAGGTAAATATGTATCGATCTTCTTGATGGAATTCATCAGTATATAGTTTGAGAGGCTCCTGAGTAAACCAGTCAAATCTCCTGGGATAACAGCGCTATTACTGAAGACATACAATGAGACGCTGAAAAAGACAAATAAGGGGAAAAGGGGGAGGAGCAGAACAAACGATATTCGTGTTTAAACCTGAGTCGTGAATCAACAGATATTTTTATGAATGAGATAAATATATGATTACTCAGACCTTCCTTTTTAGGTAATACATCACGTTCATGAAGACAAGTCACTAAAAAGATAACAAATGAGCGAATGAACGTATGAACAGAGGAGATTCAAAAGAGATAAATTGTTAGAAATTATGTAGATTTACAGAATACAATCGAAGAGGTAAAGTGATATGGTTCACTAGCCATGATTCATTTGTTGCCGTTTCTATCACCGTTGCTCAAGAAGTGAAGAATGAACTCCTGTTTAACGTAATTGCTCAGATCAGCTTCTAACAGAATTTCTCGGCAGAAATTAGAAGTAGTTCAAGTTTACAAGCATGAGTTATAGAGGTAGTTGACCTGGAAAAGTAACGTCGATACCACTGATTAGTCACATCCTGCCAGAACGTAAAGAGCCGTAAGTAAACAAAATGTTTTCCCTCACAGACATGTTTGGGTTGTGACTATCACCCTACCATCACATTTGATGATCCGATAAACCATCCTTCCCTTTTTGTGATGTTTTGCTCTCTTACGTTCGTATTGTGTTTTAATTATTGTCTTAGTCTAAGTTCACGGTGGGTAATCCTTGGCAACTCTAGGGAACATGCACCCAATGTACACGACTGTCTGGATCACAGCTCGTATCAAGCGCGTTCCATATGACCTTTCCCAACAAATTCACTATTGATCTCGGCCAATCGCCAATAGAACCTATTGTGCACCTTCCTCATTTGTACTCTAATATTGAAAATGTGGCTGTATAATACTGTTTCTGTCAGTGATATGGTGTAAATATGCAATCAGAAACTGTCTCTTATACTTAATTTAACTGCTATAACTTTTACAGTAATTGTAAAAGCATTTGTGACAATTTGATCTAGCCTGTAAACTGGCGTGACTCTTGTGACGTAGTTATTTGAGAATAAATTATTATTATTATTATTATTATTATTAGATTGCACACCCTGATGGAACATGCTGTCTCTACTAGTTCCATGTTACAAGCAAACCAGACAGTCTAAGCTTTTCTTTATACGGTTATATAAAAGCAGCTGATGTAAGAATATGAAGAAACACAGTGTTAGAAATACATGAGTAAGTCGAAAAGTAAGTTAGAAACAGTGTTTTTTGAATGTAAATAAATTGGGGATATGAAAGTTTACTAAACTGGTATTGCACGAACCGACAGAAACTCACAATGATACAGAAAGTTTGAGTTCCTTGTGATCGACAGTGGTTGAGCAGCATGTACATGCTTTTTAATTAATCTGTTTACTAGAAACGGAAACTTAAAGTGATGTGAAAGTCTATGGAAGAAAATGATGCGACATTAAATAATACAGAAAGTTCAAAAATTAAACATAGCAGTAGAAAGACGTTATAACTATCTTTAGACGGAGAACGTAATCGTGTGTTTTAGTTCGATGATAATTGCATGAATAGCTACGGGGGTGCAAGATATTCATGGTTTACCAATAGTTTTCAAGATAGTTCAGGACATTAGGGGAATGAAAGCCCTGGAAATAGTCAGTAAATCTCTTTGGAGTCTAACAACAACGGTACTAGTTTCTTCGACCTGGTTATTGTAACACATAAGAATACAAATTGTCAGTCCGTCCTATAAAAAACTGTACCGAGTGACAAAGAAATTATGATGCTAAGACATTTTGCGGTTCTCAGTTGTTAGTACATGTGTTGTTTCTGAGTTTGTAAATAGGGTCGTGGTTCAGAATTTGGCAGGAGGTTATAAATGCGAGACAGTGTATCATTTTGTAGAAAAGGTCAAGGTCATTCGGATTCTAAGCTAACATTTCATTCGAATCTTCAGGCTTATAGCATTATACTGTTTTGAAGTCATCCTCATAAAGGAGTGGTCATGTAAAATTTTATAGTTTTACATTTATCTTTCGTGAATATGAAAAACGGTTGTGGGCCTAAAACATTTTCCTTGATAACTCTACTGTTTGTTGGCCGTTGAGATAAAAGAGAATCGTTGTACTTTACAATTTGCTGGCGTTCATTAGTTAGGGAAGCAGACGACGAATCTATTGGCTTGCAGATTCCGAATGAGTTTAATTCGGTGAGAAACCTTTAGTGTGAAGCCACATCTAAATCTATCTCAAAGTGGAAGACCAGGACTGATAGTAGTAACCTTTGGCGATTTTTCTGACTTATACCATTCAGATAGTTCGAAGGCATGTATCGCATTACGTGGACCACAGAAACTTATGCTGGGAGGGTGAGATGAGATTATCATCAAGTGGATGTTGTAGTACTGCTGCCTCTACTGCTTCCTCGATTACCCTAGGCACTGCTGAGGTCATGTTAATTTTCAAAATTTTTCGTAGGCTCTAATTTAATCTCAACGAGGATATATGTAGTCTTCCAGGTATTAGAATAACTCTCTGTAGAGAATGACAGTGGTAAGCTGTTGAAGAAATATAACACTGAACATCCCTACCACTTTTTAGCATGCTTGCTAGGATGCCATCTGATCCTTCAGTTTAAGAGTAACTCGGTGAGCCGATTGACTGTCAATTATTCTGTACACTGGCATCTACACTGGTGATTTCACAGGAAGGTATTTGGGTCAGCTCTGATCCATTTAGTGGGTTTTCGTGCTCGTGCATGACTTTTATACGCAAGACATTAAACATCAACGCTACTGGATTCCGGCTTAGTGGTTTAGGGGTAAAGCTTTCCCCGAGCGAGATCCAAGGTCCTAGTTTTGATTCCTGCTTGTGATGTCGTAAAGGGGCACAATGAGGAGTCCTACACTGGGACGGAACGGCCGTTTGGGATTATAGGATTTCAATGGTGATCTAACATTTATCTATTCATGATTTTAATGGAACGCATCAATCTCCACAACCATAAACTAACAAAACTGGATGTGTTAGATGCCAATCATGTCATCAAATATGATAAATTAATGAGACCTTAATTTATTTTGCAATTAATTTCAACTAACGGCTGGAAGTGTACTGTTTATATTAGCTGTTGTACGCAAGATTCACGGACCAAAAACTTTATATGAGTTACAAACCTTAAGATGACTGAATGAGTGTTGCACTCTGTACGTACGGTAAAAATGGCTTCGGCATTACATGGATATAAGATACTAGCATAAAATTATCTTGTAATGTAGTATCTCTTAAGTGATCTAAGTTACAATAGATGACGTTTTGGAGAAAAAATGGACTTCATGGTATGGAAAGGTAGAGTAACGAAAAGCTAGACTATTTAATAAGAGCAGGGAAACTGCTTCATAGTTTGTTGAAACGCCAATTATTGTTTACACTCCGATATTTATCGTAGTATTATTTTGTTAATAGAATATATTCACTAAAATATTCGTCCACGGCTGATTTGCTATCGTGATACACTATAGGAAGACACATTTAAAGGAAGAGGGGATAAAGCTTGCAAAACAATCGAGTCGGTGATTGTCTAATTTTAAATTCGTTTTTACGTATCAATCATACAAACAATTACTGCTTGTGCCACTCACACGCGCGTGGTTTGACCTCGGGTCTATCTTTGTGCTTACGCGTTGTCCTACAGTGCCCTAGCTTTTATTATTTCTTGTTCTCTCATTTTTAAGTACCAAGGATTTAGCTCATTTCTATAAATGTTTGTCTTAAAAAACATGTTTCACACATATACTAAAATCTTTTCGTGGATTGTTGCAGTGGACCATTTTGTGAATAACTGAAAACCGAGCTTATTTCATCAAAAATTAGGTACGTTTTCCAAACCGAAATCTTGATTTTTTCATACAAGTTTTGAGAAATTTTCTTTTTGTTAGATATACCGTTGAGTGCTTTTGTTACGTCAAGCTCTCGTTGTCCATATGTGACATAGTGTATAAATAAGAATAGTATCTTAAATGCATCTAGTTTCAAGATTGGTACAGGCAGACCTTTCATACGTAGTCGTTTCCATGCACCACTACAAAAGGACTGACATGTATCATTTGATATGTTATATTTCGAAATGTTTGTCATTTTTTAGTTTCCCTGAATACAGCTTATCATTCACTTTAAACCTTGACACAGTGTATCCTTATATGCAGCAAACTCTTTCAACGCTTTCATTATACTTTGTACGGCTTCGTTTTTTTCCTAACGACAGTTGTTTATATCTTCTGAGAAATCATCGTGCTTCATTCCATTGGTTTGTTTTGTGTTAGCTAGCACTTGTGTAATTACTGAAGGTATGGCTGCTGTGATTTTGTACATGATATTGGTGATTTTAGCTAAACTGCATATGAAAACAGTTTTAACTTACACTAGGTGTCAAACCCCCGGTGTCATTTTGCTCTTTGCTGATGGTGGGTGTAGACTACCTGGTTGGAGTCTGCGAGATGATAGTAATCAATGGTTAGAAACCTCGATTAACATGGCTCAAATTAATTTTCAACGACATAGGTGAATCCACTCTTTGTCTTCTCTTAATTTCTAATCTGAGTTCCACATGACCTTTTGTTTCTCTCCTTTTTAAACCAATTCTTCTGGGATATACTTCTCGAATGATATCTTCGATAACTAATCTTTTTAACTACCGCTAATACTTCTACTACCTCTACTACTATGGGATTTCAATTGAAAATTTGATCTTTGTGTGCTAATGTGGTATGGCAACTTGTAGCTGACTGAAGAAATGTGCTCTTTGCTAATTTCTGAGTTATGTACATGAGTGGATATGCTAGTTGGTAAAAACTCCATATGTATCTTGCTGTAAACTTTCCTAAAATTTATTACCATACAGTGGTACAACACCTACATACCTGGTGTGAGTAAAAAACAGTTGCATACCTTAACAACCGATGCCATGGAAACGGCTTTAATTTCTGACTGATCACTAAATTGTGTTTATCGCAGTTAACGTAGTGCCGTTCAGTGTGATACCTGTTCTTTGCAAGGACTCTTCTGTCATGTCGTTCAAGTAGTTCAAAAGCTTCTTATCACTGTAACAAGTCTTCTGTTATCAAGTGGTTCGCTTACTTTTTTGTTCATCCAACAAACTTTTGGCTTATTCATATCTTTCCAAATGATAATGACTACATAGTCTGCAAACTTTGGTCAAATGTTACAGCTTTTATTGTGTGTTAAGCTTCACTTACTTAAATAACTTATTTCCAAAGTTCCTTAACAGAGCTGCTCATATTCAGTTAGCTTCCATTTAGTCCAACTTGTTCAAATTTCGAATTGCATGGTAGCATTGTTCTTCCTAGAAATATATACTTCAGAGAAGGTTTTATCATTTATACCGAAAACTTTTTTGTCCATAAAGTTTAAAACCAAAGATTAGTGAGGGTACACTGTTTTGATGATGAGGCTTGGTTTTCAGTTATTCACTTGAGTTGCATCTTATCAGCTTTCGTTTGAGCAGTCTTCAACTCTCACACTAAACGTATAACTGGAATCTGAACAATAAACCCGGACTTAATGATTTGCATTAACTGAATGATTATAAATCATTTATATTTGATGGTAGAGGTGACTAACCAAGGATCAGAAACAGTAGTGAATCTCGTTTTAAATGATAACTTTTACGTAAAACACAATGGCAGTAACGCTTATATGTATTGTCATTATAAGTAGTAGTTATTAAAAAACTAGACCTTAGTCGCTAGTTCTCTCACCACATCAGCAATCCGAAATCAGAACCCAAACATAACGGTTAGTCAGTTAATTCATGTGGCGCTGTCTTTTAATATAAGACAAGTGTTTTTTATTTGAATGTACAGTTCATAGTAAAACATCTCAGTCTGTCAGTTACAATGTAGAACTTCTTACATACGTACGTCAGTTCAAGTTGTCATAGCATATTAACAAAGAGAGATGGAATTGTCATTTCAAATCCCATAGTAGTAGAGGTTTTCCCAGTATTAACTGTAATGGAACAGATTAGAGGTCAAAGGTTCAAAAGAATATAAACCAGTAAAACACATTTGTAAAAAAATAGGTCATAAGGATCTCAGAACATTAAAATTTGAGAAAAGACAAATAATCGATGCATCTGTGCCGTTGCAAACGGTTTTTAGCCATTTCATTCAAGGTCTCTGACCACCGGTTACCACCATCTCTCGGACTTCAATCAAGTAGTATACACCTACTAACATAGCTCGGTCCAGTCACTAATGGCGTCATGGATTTGTGCCATGTCTTGGTTTAGCCGCCTATAGCCTTCTTCCAGCCTACCTCTACACCACTAAACATCGCTCATCAAAGCAGTTGGTGGTTAAGCTTTCGTAATACATGTCCCAAAAACCTCTGATAAGGATTCACTACTCCGTCAATCGAACTGACATCCTTAACTAGTATCCTTTTCCTAACTCCAGCATTGCTCACTCGGTGGTCCCATTGTAAACAAGCAATGCTTCGAAGACAGCGATGATCAAGTACTAGTAACCTAAGAATATCACCTACTCATACTGGTCATGTTTCACGAAGAGGCAACGTCGAGTGTCCGTATCTTGCTGAGTTCTCGCCACCCCGCTTAGTCGGACAATGAACCGGCGACTGTTGATTGAAATCCAGTCTAAGAAATTCGGTTCTGCTTTCGAGTTTATTGCCATACCTACACCGGTGAGGCCACAGGTATCAGCAGTAAAGTATTCAGATACACGAAGTGTTAATCACATTGGTTCTTTATGGTGATATGGTGGGGTCAAACGAATAACTGTGTTCAAACTCTGTATTCCTGTTTCGGACACACAGCATATATTGATGACGCGAGATCCTAAAGTGCCAGTTAGGAAAACTTGTTGTCCTATTTTGCACACGGTTCAAATATTATAAGTTTCAACGTGTAGTGTAGAAGATGGTTTCAGTAGACCAGGAATAACATTTCGCAAACCCGATTCATTAGCATTAGAGGCGCGAGGTGACATGGATATGCGAGAAGAGTTAGTCGTGGGGATAAGAGAGCTATTAAGAAGTGAGGGAATGTTTTTACTGTGACCAAGTTAATCTCGTGTGTTGTTAGGGATAAACATATCTCGTGAAATTTGATTTACAGTAAGTCACATGCTCCTTATCATACTGTAAATTAATAAACTACCAAGTTATGAAATGTCGACTGAAGTCTGGTTAAGGTATCTTTTATTAACATGTAAATTACAAGCTCGTGATTTAATCATTTTCGGCCGCAATAGTCAGTTTTACTTTTCTGCGACTACATTTTCAACATGTCTTATTTACTCTTCCCAGTTCACTTTTACTTTTGAATTTGAATGTTGTGACTGGACTCAGTGGACTTGTGAAATAAAACCTTGGGAATGCAAATTTAGGTAAATATTTATTTACAGTCAGAATCTTGAAAGTTTGATTCCTATAACCTAATTTATTTCTTGTCGAGTTACGTCAATTTTCTTGTTAACTTTAATATTATCACCTCTATTTTTACTTCTTATGTCTTTGAGAGTTATAACATATTTATATTTGGGACGTTTTAAATCCTCCACTGTCCCACTACATCTCATTGGATGGTGTTGTTCAGACATCTGATGTTCTTGGCCGTTTAGTTTTTAAATAGAACGAAGATTCGAGATAACGATCTCCAGTTGTCACTGTTTAGTGGAAAGGTGTCTTAAAATTCAAAATTGTTTTCTTTCAAGTAAAAAATAGCTATTTTACTGTGTTTGCACACCAAGTAATGTAGTGTTGTGCAACTGAAATAATTCATAGTCTCAGCAGTGAAGTAGGTATACTCATATATATATATATATATATATATATATATATATATATATATATATATAACAAAAAGCCTACCAGGAGACACCATTGCTGACTTAGAATATGATGATGACATAGTCCTATTCGGTGAAGACGCTGAAAAAATGCTGAGTCTTCTGACTATCCTAAGCAACAATGCTAGCATGTTCGGAATGTGCTTCTCACCCTCGAAATGCAAAACGTTGCTCCGAGATAGGGTTACGTCGGCACAGGAACTAGTGATAGGGAGTGAAGTAGTCGAGCTTGTTAACCGCTTCACTTGTCTTGGGAGTCTCATCAGTGCTGATGACCTGGTGTGTGACGAAATCTCAGCACAGATACAGCAAGCTTGGTTGGCTTTTGCCAACCTGCGTCACCTATGGCTCAGGCGAGATATCCGCTTGCTGACCAAAGGACAAGTGTATTATTCAGCAGTTCGCTCCGTTCTCCTATATGGATGCGAAACATGGCCGTTAAGAGTAGATGTTCGTAGGTTACTAGTATTCGATCATAGATGTCTTAGAAGCATTGCTCGTATATCGCGGGACAACCGAGTAAGCAATGCTGTCGTTAGGAAACGAGTACTAGGTAAGGATGGCAGATCAATAGATGAAGTGGTGAAACTTCATCAGTTGAGGTGGTTGGGACATGTGTTACGTATGCCTAACCACCGACTGCCTCGACGAGCTATGTTTTGTGGTGTAGGAGTAGGTTGGAAGAAAGCTAGAAGCGGCCAGACCAAAACATGGCACAAATCCATGAAGTCACTGACAAGTGTACTGAATCATGTTGGTAGATGTAGGCTACCTGGTTGTGGTCCGTAAGACGAAAGTCACCAATGGTTAGAGACGTTGAACGATATGGCTCAGAACCGTCTGCGATGGCGCAAGTGCATCCGCTCTTTGTGTTCTCTCTAATTCTAACCTTTTGGATCCCTCGTCATCTCTGTCTTTCTCTTTCTAAATTTATCTTACTGAATTATACTTCTCGAATTATATCGTCGAATTCTAGTCTCTCCG